TTTTAGTAGCTGTATTTTGCTTCTTCAGGAGGATAAAGCTCTCTCATTATATACTACTCTGTACAATATTGTGTGAATTGTTCAGCACTGTGTCAGTTTAAGGCATTCCAGCGTCCTCCGGAGACCCAATTTAGACCGACTTAATGATAGAAAATAAAATAATGATCTTGTTGCTAAGGTTTTGATTTTTTTTTTTTTAAGCCCATAACTGTAAGAAACATGTCACCCAGATAGACAAGCAATAGACAACAACGATCACTATTTCCTTGGTTCATACCGTGTACCAGAAATTGGGCTACGTGCTTTTATATGCTTTATTTCTAACTGTCACAAAAGCCCTGCAAGATGGGCATCCGTATTTTATCATCGAGGGAACCGTGGCCCAAGCACATTAAGTAACTTGTTTGTGACATCAGACTAGAAAGTGGTGGAACGAGGATTATATGAGTCTCTCCAGCTCCAAAGCCTATGGTCTTTCTACCTCCTCATGTTGCACACAACTATAAACAGGACATTCCAATTTTCTTTCCGCTGTAAACAGGCCAGTGTTAACAGCACTTTACTGCACCACTAAACCACTCCAGTATCTCCCCCAAACAGGTCAGCTGATGCTTCACAGAACTGGGGTTCAGACTGGATGGGGGCTCAGTTTAACCCCTCCTTCCTCATTGTCGGCCCTCCCGGGCCATGCTCTGTGCGCTTTCTGTCCTGGGCAAGGCTTTTTCATTTGTTTTAATGAGTTTACCTCTGAAATTTCTGCCATCTCGTGCCTCTAATGGACCTCCCAAGAATGGGCCCATCCATACTCAGTATTCTGGAAGCTATCTTCATAAACATAGGCTGGCAAAATAGGGCTGCATTTGCAAGTAATCGAAGCTCAGGGCCTCTGCCGTCATCAGAAGCCTAAGCAGATCAAAAGAATGCAGGCTGAAACACAGGGGCCTTGATTTCTGGTTGGTCACATTATAATTTACACATGAAGTCATAGCATTCTCTTTATTGCTCTTGAGAAAAGCTTTGGAAAAGCTTTCCTTTTTTTTTTTTTTTTTAAGATTACCTTAATTTCTTTTTAAAAAAAATTGCTGTCTAGAGTCTTTAAAGAATGAGTTATTCTGGTTTGTTGGAGTAGTAAGAGTTGCCCATTTAGATCAAATAATTCTTTATGTATTCAGCATATATGATTTTCCATGTCTTCTCCTAAGCTCTTTCCCTTGTATAAAATTCTTACAGCTCTCCTGTGACATAGGTTAAATCCAATTTACAGATTGGGGAAATGAGGCTGAGAGAGATGAACTGACTTGTCCTAGGCCGTAGAACTAGTAGGAACTGAAGCTCGATTTCAACTTACACGCATCCATCAATAATAATGTGTATTCTTATAATGAAATAAAGGGAGAGGGATTTAGGCAACATAGTGTATGAGCTTGATGACTTGCTATTATAATATCGCAATTATAATAGTATAAGAGCATTGATGTAAGAAGCCCTGGTGGTACAACAGTTAAGCACTTGGCTGCTAACCGAAAGGTTGGCAGTTTGAACCCACCCAGCAGCTTCGTGGGAGAAAAGACCTGGCGATTTTCTCCTGTAAAGATTACAGCCAAGAAAACCCTGTGAGGCAGTTCTACTCCGTCACATGGAGTCGATATGAGTCAGAAGCGACTCACCTATACCCAACAACAACATGATGAACTCCAACTATTGTACTGACATTATCATTAAAAGTTGATTTGGAGGTGCTGGTGAGTTGTTTATATTGTTTTTTCCTTCACTGAATGGTCCCAGATACCAATGTTCTTTGAGTTCTTACGGAAGTCCTTCAACGTTTCTGTCTGTAGTCACTTTTGGTAATGTGCTTACCTGGGCCAGGCCATGTTTTCTTCTGATCGGTGTTTATAACGTAGTTTCCAGAGAAACACTCGGTTTCTAAGACTCAGACTTTCTTTGTAAAGCTAGAGTACACTGGTACTGATAAAGACCTCATGATCATTTATATTAATTGTACTCAGTGTCTTCCCTTTGATCTTTTTTGACTTGCTTCCAGATTTTAAGCAGCCTTCCCAAGTCATTAAGGTTGGTAGTAATTATCGGGTAAGTGAGGTGTCGTCGTTCAAGAATTGTAAAATATAAACGGGTTCTCAGAGAGAAAAGCACGGGCGGCTTAGAGTCAAGCAAGCCTGGGTTTGAATCTAGGCTATGCCCTTTCTATCTGAGACGGCTGGTCATTTCCTTTTTTGGTGTCTCAGTTTTCACATCCGAAAGATGGACTGCCAATACCTTTCTTGTAAGAATGTTCTAAGGATTAAACGGAACGATGTGATATAAAGTAATTTAGTATAGCGTCTGACATCTAATATGTATTTGGGAAATATTATTTCCCAACCTCCCTCCTTGCCTTGCTTCCTGCTGTTAGATTTATTGACTTTTGTGTTTACTTAGTTTTTACACAGAGAGCTACTCACCAGCCTTAGCTTCATTAACAAGGCTAGGTGCCCGATAAATATTTGTTGAATGAATAAAGCCTCTAACTTAGTGGTTGTTATAGGGTACACAATGAAAATACAAGATTGTAACAGAACAATTGTGCTTGATGGGTCTTTTTTTTTTTTTTCATGCATCACTGCTTCTTTGGCCTTAAGGAAGTAAAGATGTTTACAGACACGTCTCTCTTTTTTTTCTTTCAGTGCCTGAAACAGTATGTTGAGCTCTTGATCAAAGAAGGACTAGAAACTGCAATTAGCTGCCCTGATGCTACTTGCCCTAAACAGGGCCATCTACAGGAGAATGAGGCATGTTCAGTGAAACCAATCAGGCTTTGGCAATGTGTGCAAATAATGCACTCCCTACTTATTGGGGTATTTTGGGTTCTGCTTAGGTTTATATTGTGTTACATTCTAGCCCTCAGCTTACTATGCTCCTTGTTTATTTTATTTTCTCTTTTTCTTAGATTGAGTGCATGGTTGCAGCTGAAATTATGCAAAGATATAAAAAGCTACAGTTTGAAAGAGGTAGGTGCCCCAGTATATTAGCTTGTTATGATTCTCATGGAGTACCTGGGTGGCCCAAACAGTTAAGCACTCAGCTACTAACTGAAAGGTTGGAGGTTCAAATC